TTTAAAAAAAATAAATAAATAAAAAATAAAAAAAATAAAGGAAAAGTACATTTACAGTACTGTACTGTATTTATTGAAAACATCTGCATATAAGTAGACACATGCTGTTCAAACCTCTGTTGTTGAAAGGGTCAACTGTATAGCCGTCTTAGATGTATTTTGGTTACTATTTGCTTGGAATGTCCTTTTCCATCCTGTTACTTTCAGTGTCTTTGAATTTAAAATGAATCTGTTATAGATAGCATATAGATGGACCCTGCTTTTTAATTCAATCTGCCAGTCTCTGCCTTTGAATAGGAGAGTTTAATTCATTTACATTAAAATAATTACTGATAATGAAAGATACTTCTTCCACTTTTGGTATTTGTTTTTGTTTTCTGTATGTCTTTCATGGGTTTTCTTTCTTCCCCTCAATTTTTCTTTTTTTTTTTTTTCTTTAAGATTATTTGAGAGAGAGAGAGAGCACGAGGAGGGGGAGGGGAGGCAGAGGGAGAGGGAGAGGCAGATTCTGCTGAGTAGGGAGCACAACACGGGGATCATGACCTGAGATGATGACCTGAGCTGAAGGCAGATGCTTAAAGGACTGTGCCACCCAAGTGCCCCCCACCTCAAATTTTTTCTATTGTTGCCTTTTTGATTTCCAATTCTGATTTCCTTCTTTCCTGTTCTATGTATTTTTAAATATATAAAGTGTGTGTGTGTGTGTGTGTGTGTGTGTGTGTGTGTATGGTTGTCTTGGTGAGGATTAAATTTATAACAACCTCATGTGAATAATACCAGCTTAGTTCCAGTAGTATACAAATACTCTGCTTCTGTACTTCTCTGTTTTATTCATTTCTCTTTTAAATCTGATAAGGAAAAAGAGGAATTGTATACCAAAAGTATAATAATATTTTCTTTTGTATTTACTTATGTAATTATCCTTATCAGTGTTATTTCTTCTTACGGCTTTTAGTTACTCTCTGCTATCTTTATTTCACCCTGAATAACTCCCAGTAATATTTCTCGTAGGATAGGCCTATTGATTTCCTTTACATTGTTTTGTTCATATGTCTTTTTCCTGATTACTCTTAGGTTTGTCCATGCTTTCCATTAGCTCATTAAGCATATTTAAGATAGTTGATTTAACATCTTTGACCAGTAATTCCAATGTCTGGGCTTACTTAGGATGGTTTCTATCAAATTCTGTTCTTCCTGTGAATGGGCCATAGTTCTCTATTTCTCTGTGTGTTCTGTAATTTTTTGTTGAGAACTAGATATTCTAAGTATTAGACACTATTCTGCAATTTTTATACTTTTTTTTGGTCTGTATATGCAAATATAATTTTAGGGTAAATTCCTAGAAATGAAATTGCTATGTTGAAGAGTAGTGTATGCCTTTACTTAATACATAGAACTAACTTAAATTCATATTAGTATTTTTGATTTCTTTGAAATTTCTTGTGGTTGATTCTCTGATTTTTCTACTTATGTTTCTGGCTGTTTTTCTATTAAGATTTCCTTGATGATTTGTGATTATATAAGTTTTTAGAGGTGATTAGTCTTATCAGATATGACTATTGTGTTAGTGGTACTTCTGTGGAAATTTATTTTTTATAGCAAGATTATAAGATTGATGAATCTTTTTCTTTATGCCTTTGGATTTTGAGTCTAGTTTAGCTAAGGTCCTCTCAGAAAAAAATATTTTAGTTTTTTAATCAACTTTACAACATAAAAACTTTAGTTTTTATGCAACTTTTGCATACAATAGGGTATATTTGTTTTAAGGCATACATTTTTATTAGTTTTGGAAACCTTGTGCATTGGTTTTTTCTCAGTCTCTCCCACCATCCCCAACCACCAATCTAGGCAATCACTGATCTGCTTTCTGCAGCTATAGATTTGTCTTTTCTGGAGTTTTCATATGAATGAAACCATACAGTATATTCTCTTTTGTGCTGGACTTCTTTGACTCACCATTATTTTTAGTGAACCATATTGTTGCATGTATTGGTAGTACATTCTTTTTTATTGCCAAATAGTAGAAATGTACTTAGTTTGATTATCTAGTCACTTTTTGAATCTTCTATTTAAAAAAATGTGTTGGTCTTATTATTGAATTAAAAGAGTTCTTTATATATTCTGGATGTAAGTTCTTTGTCAGGTATGTTTGTATTTCAAATCTATTTCCCCTAGCCTGTGATTTGCCTTCTTGTTTTCTCAACAGTGCATATTTGAAGAGCAGAAGTTTTAGAGGTTTTTGTTATTGTTGTTTTAATGGAAATGTAGTTGATGTACAATATTATATTAGTTTCAGGTGTCCTACATAGTGATTCAACATTTCTATACATAGGAATTGATGACCATCATAAACCAAGCTACCATATGTCACCATACAAAGTTGTTACAATATTATTAACTATATTCTCTATGTATACATCACATCCCCACGACTTATTTTATAATGAAATTTGAACCTTTTAATTTTCCCCTTTTGTCCATCCTTCCACCCGGTCACCCCTGCCCCTTGGCAACCACCAGATTTTTCTCTGACTACATGAGTTTGTTTCTGTTTCATTTGTATTGTTTTTTAGATTCCACATGTAAGTAAAATCAACCAGTATATGTTTTTTCCTGTCTGACTTATTTCACTTAGCATAATATCGATGTGGCAAATGGCAAGATTTCGTTCTTTTTTATAGCTGATATTTGTGTATGTTTGTGTGTGTACCACATCATTATCCATTCGTCTATCGATGGACACTTAGGTTGCTTTCATATCTTGGCTGTTGTAAGTAAGGCTACAGTGGACATAGGGATGTGTGTGTTTTTTCAAGTTAGCATTTTTGTTTTCTTTGAATAAGTACCCAGAAGTGGAATTGCTGGATCATGGTAGATGTATTTTTAATTTTTTGATACTTTTTTTCATACTTTTTTTAGATTTTATTTATTTATTTGTCAGAGAGAGAACACAAGCAGGGGGAGTGGCAGGCAGAGGGAGAAGCAGGCTCTCCACTGAGCAGGGAGCCTGATGCGGAACTCGATCCCAGGACTCTGGGATCATAACCTGAGCCGAAAGCAGACACTTGACTGACTGAGCCACCCAGGTGTCCCAAGAAACCTTCATGTTTTTTCCATAGTGGCTGCATCATTTTGTATTCCCACCAGCAGTGCACAGAGGGTGCCCTTTTTCCCATATTCTCACCAACATTTGTTACTTCCTTTTTTCTTTTCTTTTTTTT